GGGAGGAGGAGGAGGAGGAGGAGGAAGAGGGGGAGGAGGAGGAGGCGGGGGGGCCGCGGGGCGGGCGGGCGGCCGGGCGCTGCCGCCGCCGCCGCCGCTGCCGTAACGTCCTGACGCTCCGCAGGGACCCGGGCGGCGCGTGCGGCGGAGGCCCCGCGGCGGGCGAGGGCGGAGGCCGCGCCGGGGCCGCTTACCTCGGGCCGGGGGTGCCGCGGCCCCCCCCGGTGGGGCTCGGGGCGCGGGCGGTGCGGGGCGCGGCGGTGGGCGCGGGCAGGGCGGCGGCGGGGCCGGGGGGGAGCGGGGTCCGCCGCGCGGCTCCGGGGCCCGCGCGCAGGCGCACGGCCCGCACCGGCTGCCGAGACTTATTTGGCGCGGGCGCCGCGGCCCGCGCTCCCCGTGAAATAGGGACCGGGCGAGGCGCCCGTGCGCCTGCGCGTCCGACCGGGCCGGGGGGAGGGAGGGAGGGAAGGCAGGCAGGCGGGGGGAGGTCGGCGCGCGCCGCCGGTGGGGTCCGTGCGCGTGGGTCCTGAGGGGGGTCCCCCCCGTGTGTCCTCTGTGCCCCTGTCCGTGTCCCCTCCCTGTGCCCCGTGTGCCTCCGTGTGTGTCCCCTGTGTGTCCCCTGTGACCCCTGTATCCTCCATGTGACCCCAGTGACCCGTGTCCCACCTGTGTGTCCCCTCTGTATGTCCCCTGTGCCTTGTGTGACCCCAGTGACCTGTGTCCCCCCGTGTGTCCCCTGTGCCTCGTGTGTCCCCTGTGTCTCCCCCGTGTGTCCTCAGTGCCCCATGTCCCCTGTGTGTGTGTGCCCTGTGTGCCCCTCCGTGTCTCCTGTCTGTCCCCTGCCCCATACCCTGCATGTCCTTTTCCCAGATCCTGTGTTTCCTCCCAACCATGCCTCCTGTGTATGCTCTTTGTCCCCTGCGTGTCCCCCTCCGGGGCCCTGCATGACCCCTTGTCTCCTGCGTGTCCTTTTCTCGGATCCTGTGTGCCCCCCGTGTTCTCTGTGCCCTGCTTAGCCCCTTGTGTCCCCTGTCTGTCCCCTGCCCCATGCCCTGCGTGTTCCCCTCTGAGGTCCTGTGTGCCCCCCGTGTCCCCTCTCAAACCTCCACCTACCTGAGGTGTCTGCGAGCTCTTCGGTGGTGTCCTGTGCAAAGGCCATTCACAGAATCACAGAATAGTTTGGACTGGAAGGAACCATAAGATCATCTCATTCCAAACCCTGTGCCATGGGCAGAGACACTTTCCACTACACCAGGTTGCTTCAGGCCCTGAACACTTCCAAGGATGGGGCGGCTGCAGCTTCTCTGGGCAAGCTGTGCCAGGGGCTCCCCATCCTCACAGGGAAGAATTCCTTCCTAATATCCAATCTAACCCTGCCCTCTGGCAGTGTGAAGCCATTCCCCCTTGTCCTATCACTCCATGCCCTTGTCCAAGGTCTCTCTCCAGCTCTCCTGGAGCCCCTTTAGGTGCTGGAAGGGGCTCTAAGGTCTCCCTGGAGCCTTCTCCAGTGTTTGAGAAGTGCCCTTGTCCTTGTCGGTGGTTTTCTGTCTGTTGCCCAGGAGCCATCCCCGACCTGCTGATGGTCCATATGAGCACTAAGGATTGTGCTGTAACTCTGCTCTCTGTGTTTCCCTGGCCACCATGAGCTTTCACAGATTTTGGTGTCATTTCTGCTGTTTCTGTGCCCCTGCTGTCCGGGGTTCGGGAGGCACAAGGGATTTCTCAGGGAGGACTTTTCACATGATGTTACCACATTGCACTTTTTCCACAAGTAGATAGCTAATGCACTCTGAAAAGGGATGAACCAGGCCAGAGGCCCCAAAAGATGTGAACCCCTTTTGGAAACACTTGCTATGTTTCCATTTGTTGCATTTTCACAGCTACCAGGTGAGTGGCTTTTCCTGCCAGGTGTTCAGGTGGTGTTTAGTCTGTTTAGTATTTTTTACACGAATTTCTAATGCACCTGCCAGATACATTTGTGGTGGTTTATTTAATGCTTTTTTCCCCCAAGGCTCTTCCTTTTCTTTTTCTGTCCTCCCCATCCAAACCAACCATGCCCAATAACCAGCTGCCAGCTTTATTTCCCTCATGTTCTTTCCCACTTGCCAGTTTACCCAAGCTAATACCATTAAAGTGACATTTCGCAAGGAATTGTATTTCTTTTCCTTCTCCAAGATAACCAGCAGTAACCAGCAAGGTTAAATCACCCACTGGAAATGATGACTCCATTTTCCTTGGAAGCCTGTCTGTATCTCCACAGGTGCTGCTGCTGATGTCTCCTCTGGCATCAGCATCCTCAGGATCACACTGGGGCTGGATGGGGCAGAAAAAAGGTCCCTTTTCTCGCTACAACCAGCTCCTGGCAGTACCCAAGGGCAGAGGCCTTATAAAGATGGTAAGAAGGCAGCAAAACCCCAGCGATGCTGCTGTACACCGGTTTTCCCAGCAGTCAGTGGCCTCTTAAAAAGCAAAACCTGGCTTTTGCTGTCAGATCTCAGGACATGGGAAGGTCCTTGGGCTCCTCTTAGCACCCGGGGTGGGATGATTTCACCTCCTGGCACCTTATCTGCTCCCTGCTCTGCCCCTTTATCAGTGGGCAGACTCACTCCAGCCACGGTGCCAGAGAGGCTTCTGAGAAAGGATGAGCTGTTATTTTTCAAACCCAATTACTCTGCAAAATCTCTATTTTTTGGTTCCCTAAGTGAGCTTTTGCATTTACTGTGACAGGGTTGCTGTTCTCTTCCCTTCCTGTCA